TTGCTGTTGAGTCGATTCTGACTCACAGCTACCCTATAGGACAGAGTAGAACTGCCCCATAGGGTTTCCAAGGAGTGGCTGGTGGACTCCAACTGCTGACCTTTTGGTTAGCAGCCAGGTGCTTAACCACTGCGCCACCAGGGTTCTGTCAAATTGTGCAGGGGGCGAAATACATACAATACAGACAATGATAAAGTAAATGGGGTAATAGGTTAACTATTGGTGAATCTGGAGAAAATATATATGGGAGTTCCTTATACAAATCTTTCAACTCTGTGAGTTTGAAATTACGTGAAAATTAAAAGTTACCAACAAAACTAGATTTGTCTTTTCATTATCTTCTGAGCAGTAGTGTAGTCCAGGTGATTGTTAGAAAAATAATGGGTAGTGTGCTTCTTTGACTTAGCTGCCCCGTTTCACTCTGTCCTTAGACTTTCGTCTGTTTCTCAACTTCTGGCTAAAAAAACAAAAACCAAACTGGTTGCCATCGGATTGACTCTGACTCAACTTCTGGCTACCAATATATTATTTATTCTAATTGCTATAGAAATCTCCTCATAAGATTTGTTTGTAGTCGCTATGAAGTGCTCAGCTCCTGTACACATTTATTGTTCTAGCTAGTAATGGTATGCATTTGGGGGCCTAGTCTCATTTTGTGTATTTTTTCCTATTCATATGTTTTGCTTTTGCAGTATCTTGGATAATGTAAAAACTATATAATCATTTGTTTTGTTTTTTGAGAAAATTTAAATATTAACTTCCCACTGAAAGGCTTTACTGCCCTAGTTCTTGGCCAGTAGTTTTTTTTGCCTGACATTTGTGTTTTACCTCTTGGTAGAAGATTAAGTGTGGCATGAGGTCTAACTGTAATTAGAACGTATTGAACTATGTGCTTACCTTTGTTGTCAGCACGAAAAAACCTAGTATCTAAATGCTGTCAAGCAGAACATGCCTGCTCTCAGCCACAAATAACGTGAGAGAAGCCCTTTCCTAACTAGACTCCACTACCAAAGCTAGTACTAGTTCGTTGGCACTCGGGACTTTCACCTGGCCCTGGGTTACTGCCTTGTAGGGGCAAGCAGCACTCTAGCAGAAGCTGTTTGGAATGGGTTTACTAAGAAAATCATGCAAACTGATTTCATGATGATTCACTTGGTGCTTGTGTTTTCAATTGGTTAACCAGTTTTCTTTCCTTTGTGGTGTATGATGGGATCTGCACTAGACAGAGGTAACCGGTTGGATAGCTGTATATCTGTATGCTGGTGTTTTGGTGCTTGTTCGTTTAGTTGTATGGTACTCCTCCTGAAGTTATGCTTGCAGTGCTGCCTCTTATTTTGTGCTTGCATGACGTTATTTGATTGCGCTTTGTTGGTTTGAGTTCTGAAAACCTCCTGTTTCTTTTTTTGGTACTCCAGAATAACTCTGAACAGCTTTAGTTGGTCCAGAACTATGAAAACCAGTTCCAAGTCTAACTCTTCGGTGGATCCTTTTCAGTTTTTTAAAATCTCTTCAATGTCACTACTATTATGGTTTGGTCAGGATTTCCAAAAACAGGATAGGTTTGCTTAAACACCAAGGAAGAGAACAGTTGCTAGACAGGCCATACGGAAGCTGTGAAAGGAAATATATACTTAGAGTAAAAGCTAGCATTTCATCAGATAGCTGAAATGTAGGCGCCTCCACCAAGGTAACAGTAAATATGATTAAATTCAATCATGCCTAAAAATTGGTGTGTGCATCTGATTTGACATTATATTTCAGAGATGCTGTTTACTTTGCATGTGGTTCTACATTCCCACACTAAGATATCTGGGATTATAAAATTAGTATTTCAGAAATTAGTTTTTTGAACATTTATGTGGCCTTGGAAATAGTTGTTTACCTCTTCATTTCTCATCACTAACGGTATAGTTCTTCTTTGACAGTTAGAACTGATTTCCTTTTAGTTTTTTCATTTGTTTGTTTTTTTTTTCTTTTTACTCCTTTATGTAGCTCTGTAGAAGAAGGTGGATTGTTTTTAAAACAAAGAAACAAAATCAGTCCTGAAGTGGGCCTGAATGTTTTAAATGGCAGCAGGTCATAAAATTGACATTATTTTCCAATTTTTGTATTAAGCCAGTGTTGAAACAAACAAAAAACATTTTTTCTTGTAATTTTCATCATCTTGAAAACTGTAAAGGATCCATTGATTTGAAATGGCCGTCAGAGAAATGCTTCTGATAAACAGCATAAAACTGTCAGAGAAGTGATGACTTGTCTCCTACTATTTGTTTTCTAATTCAGCTATTTCTTTCTTTTTTTTTTTTTTTTTTTTGTTATCTTTTGGTGGGACCTGTTCATTTAATAGAAAATTTCCCAGGAACGAGAAAAATTTGCTGATGAAGGCAGTATATTTTACACCCTTGGAGAATGTGGGCTCATATCCTTTTCAGACTACATTTTCCTTACAACTGTTCTTTCCAGTAAGTATAAACTTTTCCTTTTATTCATTTGCAAGGAGCATATGGGGATTATAAAGAGTTAAGTTAATTGGAGGGAGAAGACAAAAGTTGGTAAAGTTAATTATAAATTTCATTTGTTTTGAATTTTCTATAACATGTATAAAACCACCTGAGAAGGGGAAAGAAAAAGAAAAAGTTGTCCAGGTAAAGTTAAGAACAACAACAATGAAGTTCCATTTAACTGTCTGAGGCTGTCTTCTGTTAAGATGAATTATGTATTGCCTATTTCTGTAGCCTTCATTAACCTTACTGTTGTTGTTACTTAACCATCAAGTTGATTCTAACGCATGGCTACCCTATGTTGCTCCATAGGGTTTTCAAGGCTGTGACCTTTCAGAAGCAGATTGCCAGGTACCTCTGGGTGGGTTCTAACTGCCAACCTTTGTGCTAATAATCGAGTACTAACCATTTGTGCCACCCAGGGACTCCTTAATGTTACTGCTTCCCCAATAAGACACATACTGATCTATCATTTCCTCCACTAACGTAGAAAATTTGCTTGGCTGCCCTGATTGTGTTGAATATTCGTTTTTGCATCTTGGAGGAATACTTCTGTAGTCTCAAAACTCAAATTTGATTCATTTAGATCGCTGATGAATTTCTGATATTCTTTAAGCTAAACAACTTTGTTGATTAGTATGCTACTCTGTTTCTAAATTTCATTTCCCTTTAGTGTGACTTTTTTTTTTTTAACTATACAGGAAAAGAAAACAAAATAAATGTTCATAGCTGTCTGTGTACATTCTATTAAAATCTACCTAAATTGAACCTAAGAGTTTAGATTTGTATGTTTGAAATAGATGATTCTCAACTTTTTCTTCCTGGGACCTAACAAATGAAAATGACCAGTCCTTCCTCGCCTTTTCAAAGCTAGTCATCTAAAAATAAAAATACATACAGTTATCAATAAATGACATACACAGTTCCTGCCATGGCTGTGACCACATTTAGCCTTCCTCTGTGTAAGGATTGACAGGGAAGTGAGGAAATAGACTACTATGCCTTTCCACTACTGTCTTTGGGTACCACAGTGTCTGAATAAATTCATGTGGTGAACCAGTGCTTGAGCAATGTAAATATACATTTATTTATTACAGAGATCCAAAACAGTAAGCTAAATACAAGCACACTTATGATCTTAAATTGTGTATTATTAAAGTTGGCTATTATTTTGGTAGGGCGTGGGTTTTCGAGGCAGACTTCAATTCAAATCCTGGCCCTACCACTTCTTAGCTTTGTGGTTTGGGACAAGTCACTGTTCTTCTCTTTCATCTGTAAAATGAAGGTGGCAATCATACCAACCCTGAGTGATTGACTTGAGGATTATGTGATAGTGCATATAAAGTACCTGGTTCAGTGCCTAGCATTCAGTCACTATGCAGTCTATCTTGATTTTTATTAGCAGTTGCCATCAAGTTGACTACGACTCGTGGTGAACCCCCTGTGTGTATGCATTCATCTAATTACTTTGGTGGGTAGGAAGGGCCTTCCTTGGGATTTCTAACTGAAAACCAGCCAGAGCAGTGCAAAGGGTATCACTCAGATGATAGCGGATTGTCATATTTCTGAGTAGATGTTTTCTTTCAAAATTGATGGACTCAGTAGTGTTAAAGAAATGTCTGTCATTTTGAAGAGAAGAATATGAACGCTCTACCGTAATGAATGGACACTTGGAACCTTAAAATACTTTAGAAACTCTTCTATGTTGTCTAAAATAAAATTTGACAACTATACATAGCAAATCATTTGTTTTCCTTCCTAAATTATAATTACCTCTCTTAAAATAAAAGTAAGAAATGCTACTTTTTCAAAGAAGGCATGTTATGCAATGTAACTTCCCCATTAAATAGAGTTAATTCTTTTTATTTTAACTTTTTGGAAGTTTGATTTTTAGTTAAGCAAGAGTTTATTATACACACACTCAGAATAACAACCAATTTGGTAGAAATGTTTACAATAAGTAGTGCATGAATTTCTTACTCTTCTCTGTACGTGCAGACGTACCCTCTGATTTGGAGAATGGATGCCCTCCTACACACACACTTACACGTAAATACTTCCTAAATGTCTTTTCTGCTTTATTTCTTCCTTGGCACTTACCACTATTTAACGTTCTACATAACTTATTTGTTTATCTTGCTCATTGTTCTTCTCTCTACCTAGAATGTAAACTTCATGACAAGTAGTCGCAATGTATTACTTTGTAATGATATTCTCTACAAATGTATCTACTGTATATAAAGCATTGTGCCAGAGTAACAAAGCAAGAATATAAAATGTTTCTTTTCTCCAGAAGAAAAGTTTAGCAAACATAAGACTTGACTTTGCTGTTTATATTGAAATTGAGAACAGTCTTTGTAGCTGTTAATGTCTTTATTCTACAGACAGTATCAGTAGAGTGAGGGAAAGATGCTTTTTAATTAATTGATTTCCAAACAAGTTTGGTTTCTTATAATAATTCAAAATGTGTGTATTTATACTCTCCCTTATTCCTCATTAGTAAATTCTGTTGGTTTATACCTCATCCCTCTGATCAATTTTGATAGATTTACTTGAAGAATTTTCAGTGTGAGCCATAGCATCTACATTAAGTAGAATACCAAGTATTTATTAGATTACTGCCCATTAGTAAAATAAATTCAGATTAATTCTAAGTAAGATGAAAACCAAAAGCCAAACCCATTGCCACTGAGTCAGTTCCAACTCATAGTGACCCTATAGGACAGAGTAGAACTGCCCTGTAGGGTTTCCAAGGAGCAGTTGGTGGATTCGACCTGCCGACCTTTTGGTTAGCAGCTGAGCTCTTAACCACTGTGCCACCAGGGCTCCAAGTAAGGTGAAGAGATTATTATTACTATTATTAAATAATTTCCAAAAAGCACCAGTATATTGCTTCTGATCCTTAAAGGAGGTTAATAGGAATTGAGTGAAAATACTCACGCATGGTTATTAATGACTTAATTCTCAGCACTAACTAACCTCAGGATTAGCTGGTGGTCAGAGATTTTTCTCTACAACTAGGTGTAGAGAAGGAGCATCAAGATTTATCTTGAATGTTAAATATTTATTGATTTGGATCATTCTTGCTAATGCTAAAATTCACTAGATGATGATGTAACTTAAAATCTGGATCTTGGCCATTGACTGTTATGAAATATTTCTTTTATGCTCTTTGTCTTCATATGTGTTCTAACTGAAATTATTAACCTCAGATTGCTTGATGGGGTGATAGGAAAGCAATAATAAAACACTTACAAAAGTTGATTATTGAAATTTTCCTTACTATGTACTTTTAATCTTTCAAAAGCCACTAGGAAAATCAGAAGCAGAAAATGCTATAGCATGTCCAGTACCTAAGGCTTTAAAGTTTTGGGGGTGGACCTAATGCAAATCAGGCATAATTCACTGTATTCTAATTTTGATTCCCTCTTTAGACTTCAGAGAATCAATGCAGAAATTGAATTCAGTAGGTTTTCACTACAACTGGATTTGGTTATACTGAAAGTTAAATCACATGTTTATTGTGATGCATCTTTCTCACAAAAATATGCAAACAGTTTGAGAAATCACAATAGTATTGATAAGAAATTTTATGTTTTATTTTTCTTACCTTACTGAAGTCAAGAGCAGATCAAAAAGTGTATGTGACTTGGAGAGAATGATGCTGATCATTGCCATTCCAGCTAATGAAAATGTTATAGAGGAAAATAAGATTTTTTTTCGGTTGAGTGAAAACCTTCCCGTTGAAAAATACAGGAAAGGCCCAACAGCTGAGATCTATCAGCAGATTTAAGGCAAATCTTTTTTATTGGAACGTCAGAGTTGGAGAAGTGATAGAGAAAATTTGGTTTAGCTATTATTATTTTTTTATGTTTGGGAATTATTTGCCATTGCTAAATTGACATTATGAAGAGTAAGACAAAGCACATGAAAGGTTGATCTTTTTCAGCGTTATTTTAGCCTGTAAGAGATGCTTAGAATTAGTTTACTAGTAATTTCCTTCTCTAAAATAACCGGTTCTTATAATTAAATTCATTGATTTTATAAAAAAAAAGTGTCTTCTGTCAAAACAGCTTTTAAATGCCCCACAGGGTTTCCAAGGCTATAATCCTTACGAATGCAGACTGCCACATCTTTCTCTCATGGAGCAGCTGGTGGGAGCAGCTGGTGGTTTGAAACCACCAAATTTTTGGTTAGCAGCCAGAGCTTAACCACTGCACCACCAGAGCTCCATCGTCAAATATTTATAGATGATGTTAAATGCATTTAGCCACGTGAATTTGAGAATGCTATGCTATTTCAGTATCCCCAGCTATTAAAGAAAGTCAAAGCATTTTGACATCTTTGTATCAAAAACCACACAGGAATTTTAGTTCAGATGAGCAAAAAATAAGTGGTGTTTGTGTTTAACTCTCTCAAATCTGCCTGTGACTATACTAGAAGATTCAAATATTTTCTTTCTCTGCAAAAGAAAATTTATTCTTTGGAAACAGTTGCTTGGGACTAGTTCTGAGGGTGAACAAGACCAAGGGGAGAACAGAAACTAAAGAAGCAAATTATGACTAATAATAAAAATAAGATATAAATGTATTTTGACTCTATTTTGAAGATTTTATAACTTTGTATCTGTGAGGAAACCGTTCTCCTTATTAGCCTTTTCATATTTGTGTTTTATTTGAATAGATCTGTTTTCATATTTTTGAAAATTCTAAGAATATTGGTTATGTTACAGAAATTTGTTAAGGGCATATGATCTGGAGCTCCACCCTTTCAATATAAATAGCCAGATGGGGCTATGGCTATAAAAAGAACAGAGTATAGAATGAGGTGGTGGTCAGGAGTGTTCTCTATACTCTCTATGGGCTGATACTGCCACTAAAATTATGTCTGCATATACTTTGTCTTCTCTTGAATGGTTTATGTTGGCCTGTAAAACCTTTTACTACTTTTCCATGGAGTCA